AATAACATTTTTGTATAGTATGAGATTTAATAATTATTTGAGTATAAAATTGTAAAAATTTATTTATTTTTGATTGTACTATGAAATTTTTAAAATGTACTACTGGTAGTACAAAAGCCTAATCCTATCTATTAACCAATAAAATTACTTTATATGTAAATGACCCAAATGATCTAATGACCCAAATGACATGGTCATTATTTGATGACTTGAGGTCATTTGAATTTTGATCAAATGACTAGATCATTTACCATCTCTGATTTATGAAAGTGATACAAATCACATGCCAATAGTAAATTTTTTTTGGTATTAACGTTAAATTGAGGCTTTGCTCGTATCTTTATTAGTAATTTTTTAAACTAGCAACTACATAAAGTTGTTAACCTTTGGCCAATAGTAAATATTTATTTGTTATTTTTGCTAAAAGCATATGAAATTTGATTAGAATTAGAGTTGGAATAAAAAATATTGTTTAATAAAAGTTGGTTAGAATTTTTTTTTATCAGAACATAAAAGGTAATTTTCTAGAATATACAGTTAACCTCTCTATAGTTACTTTCTTTATAGTCACTAAATTAATATAATTACAAATTTATTTTATTAATTATTTATAACTATATAAAATATATCTCTATATTAGTTATATTTTTTTATAATTATAGTTTTTTGTATCTCAAAGGTGTGACTATAGAAAGGTTTGATTGTATTAATTATGTTTGAATAAGATATAGCTTAAAATTTATTTTGTAGATTAATAAAATTATTAAAGAGATATTGTATAATAGTTATATATTAGCAGTTTAATAAATTATTATAATATAAAAGTCTATTTAGTCAACTATTGAAAAATTAAAATTAATATTTTAGAATAAATATTTTTTATTTAAACTTTATTAACTATAATCTAAGATGATCATCACCTCAATGTTATATTTCAAAAATAGAACTAAGAAACAGGAGTCAGATAGATTAAATAAAAATATTCAGCATCCCCAAAACTTCATATAATTTAAATTTAGAGCTATTATAACTAACTTTTGTCTTGGTCTAAAATTGTACTCTAACTCTAAAAATAGTAAGGTAACAATCATCTCAGATTATTATAATAATATTTCTTTTTATTTAATAATATTATCAGATTTTACTAAAATATACCTATGGTATTTTATATCTATGTATATGTTGTGCCTCAGATCAATTCTTGCGTCAGATCTAATCTGACGCATGTCAGATGCTAATTTTCAGGTAACGCACGTCACTTGTCAATCGATTATCTGACGTGCGTAAGATTTAATCTGACGCAAGACCATCATTAGAAAAATTTTTTTTAAATGTAAGAAAAAATATAATTACGATATCATTATGATGCAATAATATGTCATTACGACGTAATAACTATGTAATTAATGACCAAGAGTATAAAAAAGACTTTTTGAAGCTTGGCTTTGTACCTTTGGCGTTTCCTGAAGTTAGCTTTACATCACATTCGTTACTTACCTTTTCGAATTCATTGGCTTTACCTCCTTTGCGTTCGTTGGTTCCTCTCTTTGCTTTCGCTAGCTTTCCTCTCTTTGCTTTCACTAGCTTTCCTCTCTTTGCATTCATTGGCTTTATCTCTTTTCGCATTTAAATTGGATTCACGATTCTTCGTGTTTGGCTTTGGTTTTACGTTTATTTGCATTTGACATTGGCTTTGCATCTCCTTGCGTTCGACATTGACTTTGCATCTCCCCGCATTCGATATTGGCTTACATTTTTCGAATTTGACGTTAGCTTGGTTCTTGGTACCTACCATTTTCATTTTTCATATTTAATGTTGGTATTTGTTTGTGTCATTTAATTGCTTTATCTTAATGCTATATCTCTATATTTAGTGT